GTAGCCCATTTGACCTGCTTCTGATAAGCTAGACACCTGACTAGTAACATGATCACCATGGTTACGCTATCTTTATCTAGGTAGATATCTAATCGGATAAGATATAGATCATCTAGACGCTAAAGATAAGATAGATGCCATGAAATTCTGTGACAGTTACAAAGATTTCCTAAACCAGCTGTGAAGGGCATTCACTATGACTGGCCCTCAAGAAGATCACAATGCTGAGTTTGAGAAGATGCTGCAAAGGTACAAGAGTGTCTCAATACAGGATACAGCAAAATTTATTGGAGAATACCAAAGTCTCACAGAATTGGTGAAACAAGGTGACAAACAGCACATTTCATTGATTTGAGACAGAATAGCCTTGTCAATCAGACAAGTGCTTGCCAGAATTCAGTAATCTAAGTGGCCAAAGGAATGGTCATTATTTTTGCTCTCCAGTCTGGCTGATGTCCCTCCTGCTCTTACCTTGGACGTTGAGTATCCTGGTAACCCTAGTACCCTTGCCGAAGCCATGGCTTCTCCATTTGCTTCAGTGGCGCACTGCACTACTCGACAAATTTCAGTCAATTCATGATCTTCATGTCTACGAGCTTGTTCCTAGGTCCTTTGTGCCCTCTGGTTGTCGTATTATGTGTGGTCGCCCTGTTTTCCATTTGAAGTGTGATCACCTGAATGTCCCTGTCCGTTTCAAAGCTCGCTGGGTCTGTCGAGGCTTTGAGGCCGTTTTTGGGCAAGACTATACTCAGACATCCTCTCCCACTGTGCATATGGAATCTTTTCGTGCCCTTCTTCACCTGGCTGCTAAGCGCAACTGGGAGATTCATCACATTGATGTAAAGACTGCCTTCTTATATGATCTTCTTCCTGACAATGAGACATGCCATATGGAACAACCCCACGGCTTCGAAGATCCTGACCATCCTGACTGGGTGTGGAAGCTTCTCAAAGGTCTGTATGGAATGAAACAAGGTGGTCATACCTGGCATCGTACTATGCACATCCACTTACTTGCCCTTTGGTTCATCTACTGATAGGCCCGCGTAGCGCATGGGCGTGCCTCGAGCTGTACTCAACATTCGAAGCGCTCGAAGCTTCCGCCTTCAGGGACGACCACGATACTTCGATACGAGAACGCCTTCAAGCAAGGCCCGCCCTTCAACATCTTTGAAGCTTTGCGATCTCACGACGATCCAATCGGGATCTTTTGGTGGCAGCGTTATTCTGGGGGCTCAACTCCGAAGACAAAACACCATCATCCGGAGATTGGGACCTACGATACAGGGCCAACGGGTAAACCTTTAAGTCGACGCACTCGGGCCGCAACGCCAAGACTCGCAACAGTCGGGCCTCCGAGACTAGCAGGAATAGCGCGGCGGACGGGAATTGGAAACTGATGGAGATGTCGGGTGGGAGTAGGAAGGATAGCGGGATCGTTCGGCGTGGTCAGGGCAGTGGAGGCGGTGACTCGGGAGGTTTGGCAGGATAAGGGATATTTAAGAGCAGTTTTTCATGGTTGTAAGCCAGGACTCAGCCCCTAGTAGCGAGACTCGCGCAGAATCACATCCCCCACTCAGCAGAGCTCATTCCGGCTTCAAACTTGCTTTCGAAGTGTTGCGTCTCCCTACGGACTATGACTACGACACCCCGAACTACGTCTGCAACCTTCAAACTACGCCTACGCCTTTTGACCTTTGTCTACGACCCGCGCTCCCCCTTCGAAGAACACCTACTCGTTCAGCTAAGTCCCTTGAAGTTCTGTTCTCGCACCCGACCCTCGGACGAGACTCGTGCGCCCGCGCTCAAATCGCACTTTGCCTTTGCATTGTCGAGCCAGCTCCCCTCTTACCTTCCCTCCGCTTCTACAAGAAGTTGGAGTGTTTGGACAGTCCGAAACAGTCTCGTGACACCATCCCAAGAAAATCTAGTGAAGTCGTCACCGTTCGAGCAAGCTATCACAACTACAAGCCCTCACCCACATCAGCTTCCCCAAGAAACAGCAACTAACCCTTTTCTTCGCACCCCCAAGTTAGGGTTAGGTTTCCCGAGGTTGCATCACCGCCTCCCTTGCAAATACTGTATCTATTACCGCCAGTCGGATTTGGAAATCATTGTTACCTGCGTTCATGTTGACGATTTCCTTATGACTGGCAGTTCTCTTCGTGCAATTGCTGACTTCAGATCTGATCTTTGAGCTGAATGGCAGATCTCTGACCTTGGTGAAGTGAAGTTTTGCGTTGGTATTGCTATCTCCTGTCATCTTTCATCCCAGACTGTTGCCCTCTCTCAAACCACCCTCATTGACAAGGTTGTCTCCCAATTTCGCCTGGACAACGCTCATCCTGTCTCGACACCAATGGATTCCGGTTTGCATCTTTCCCGATGTGAACACTCACCTACCACTGATGCCGACTGGGCTGCTGTCACCACTCTCCCCTACCGCGCTCTCATTGGTTGTCTGATGTACTTAGCTATCAGTACTTGTCCTGACATCTCCTTTGCTGTACAACAACTTAGCCAGTTCCTCAACTCTTTTGAGCTTGTGCACTGGGAAGCTGCTAAGCGTGTTGTCCAGTATCTCAAAGGCACTCGTCTTTACTCTCTTGTTCTTGGTGGCGATTCTGTGGCCTCACTTTCCGGTTTTGTTGACACTAGCTATGCTGCCTGTTAAGGGACCTGATGTCAAGGTATCGCCCTGATACTTGACTCTGACTCAAACCCTAACCCCT